CGATGCAGCAGCTGTGCATTTGATTTGGACGCCCAATGCAATGGCCAACTGCTAGTTTGTTTGATTGTTTGTTGGTTCGACCGACCGACCGGTCGACCAAATGTTGTTTCTTGGCCAATTATGCATGCAAACGGCAAGATGGGCTGCCAACTCGCAAAAAGGAGGAGTTGCTGGCAACAACAATCGCAGACAATTGCATTGTGCAGTTGCTTATTAAGTTGTTCGAATGGCACAGAAATTGCCTTCACAGATCTTCCATGCATACTATACTATATACTACTAGTGTGTATGATTGTTTTGGTACATAATCGGCGGCTGTTGGCCAAGCGGCTGGTCAAGCAAATTGTGCAAACTGTGCATAAAAATCATTAACGAATGACCTGCAAAATGCATGCATGCAAAAATAAATTTCGGTAGCCGAATGACGACACAGTCAGTCGACCAAAAAATTTAATAATAATAAAAAATCGCTGCTGCCCAAAAAAAGTCAAAACAAGGAACGTGAACGCGAACATCGAGGGGCGCAAAAAACGAGTAGACAAAGTGCAAAATCAACATTTTTTATGAGTGACGACGACCACGACGATGCCAATGACGATGCCCATGATGATGCCGATGACGATGCTGATGCTGATGATGTTGGGGAGGTGAGCAGAGAGTCGAGGCGGCAGCGTGACGAAAGCAATCTTCATGCATTTTGACAGGCTGCCTGGCTACCGCAACTCGGCCAAAAGGCACTGAAGTGGAGACGCAACAGCAATCAAAATATGGCCATAAATAGGCGTCAGGCGGCGGACTTTGCGAAGCCCCAAAGTCCATCGAAAGTTTTGGTGTTTGTGGCCCCAGACAACGACAACAACAACAACAACAACGAACAACGGCTCAATTACAGGCGACAATCTGGATGCCACTAACTTTAATGGCATATTAATATAAATATTTGGCTGGCCAATTTCTGTTAAAAGTTAATAAAAAGTAATTTATTTTAAGAGTGCAGACATGCTGCTGCATGTTTAAATAGAAAGGGTGAAAATAACGGAAGCAATGAATCTAAAAGAAATTAGTGTGTTACAAAAATTAAGAAGTGGATTTCTGTAACTAATGACAATTATCCAAATACACGAAATAATTAATCATTATAATGGATATCTACAATTACTATTCTTTATTTATTTTTTATAGCATTATATTTTAGACATTTGTACAAACAGTAAGAGAGTAAGTAAAGAAATGTGTTTGCAGACATCATAAAATAACGAATTTCAAAATATTAAATATCATCTTGGATTATGAATATATATCAGCATTTAAGAATTATTTCTCAGCTAGCTAGTTCGAAGCCAGCTTGAAATTGAACTAAACACATGATTTAAACTTTTTCCCATAAAGCGTTATAAATATACTTAAAAATTTTAAAATTCAGCTTTTGTTTTTTATTATTATAGTAGTAGTGAGTAGATAGATTATTAGCAAAGGGACAATACTGTCTTTTTTTATAAATTTAATAATTGCTCTTACATTATTTGTTCTTTTTTTATGAGATTTTTTTATAGAACTGGTATATTTATTGTAGCGAAGAATTTCAGCTACAATCGATAGCTTCAAATAAATAGACCTTTAACTTGCAATTAAGCTTGAAATTCAGCTTTTTTTATACTATATAAGTAGATAGATTAATAGCAAAGGGACAGAAAATTATTAATTGCTCTCACATTATTGGTTCTTTTTTCTTGAGTTTTTTTTCCATAGATGTGAAGGTTTTTATTTATTTTTATTTTATTTATTTATTAATCTTATCCTAGCGGTACAAGTATCAGGTTACTTTTAAATTATTACGCTAGTCATTACAATTTTAATTATATCAAGCTTATTATTAGGGTATTTTCAGCTTATTAATTTTAGTTTTAACATTAAACAATTTTATTATTCCTATTGTAGGGCAGAATTCCAGCTTCAATCGATATATTGATTCAAATAAATAAACCATAAAATCATTCTTTAACTTGCAATTAGAAAACCTTTACAATTCTCTCATCAATAACAAGCCAGAAATATATTTCAAAAATAAAATAAAATTAAATAAAATTAAACATGAATTTTCAGATATATCGAACTTTGAAGAATAAAACCGCTCTGCAAATCGCCGTTCAATTACAAAATCTGTGTTGCAACAACTTCCGTATTGTCTGTTCAATTTTTCGAGTAACCTCCTTAGTTTCCTAAAAGAAAAACGCACGCAGATTGTGCCAACTGCACATTTAAGTCATCAATAATTGACAGAAAACACGCAAAGCTATATCCAAATATCACTTTCACTCGCCGCACTCACTTATTTCTTCTCCCATAACAAGCAGAGCTATCAGCAACAGCCGCAGCCACGGCACCAAACAGAAATTGCCGCAAATTGCTGCACATTAACAAAGTGGCGACACCAGCAACAACCACAACAACAACAACAGAAGTATTCGAGGCCCAAGAGGTGAAAATAAAGCACTTGAGCTGAAAAACTGAACTGCAAATGCAATTGAGTGCCTATTTGTAATTATTTAAATGAGTCTAACAAATGTCTTAAAACAAAAAAAAAAAAAACAAAAAAAAAAACAAAAAAAAGCGAGAAAGGCAACTTCAAAATTTGATTTTTGAGAAAAACTTGGCCAGCCACAAAGTGTTGAAAAGGAGGCGAAAATGTGCAACCAAAAATTATCGGCAACTGTCAAAAGCACTGTTGGGCATTTGGCTTCGCGTTGCCACACACGCCTGCTTACCAACTGCTCACCACTTTTTGGACATTTGGACACGCAAATGGCATTTAAATGTTTTGACAAATGACAAATTTTCGGTAGCCACAACCGCACGTTGAATGGAAATTGCAGGATTTGTCAGTCGTTGAATGCCAGCACCAATCCCCTGCCCCTGGCCCTGCCCCAACTCCAGCCCCTGCCCCAAGCAACGTTGCATGCATAGATTTCGTGGCGCTGACAGCTTAAGTGAGAAAAGTCTTGCTGATTAAACGTTTTGACAAATTAAATGACGGAAAATATTTATGCATTAGAGAAAATGTATATTCCAAAGGCAAGCGCACTAAAGTGGCTTGCCGATAAGCAGCTACGAGTTTATGAGGATTTTATATTCAATTCTTAAATTAAGTTGAACAGATGGGAATTAAAACTATATGGGAAGGAAGAGACAGTTTAAAAATTATGTTTTTAAATACGATTTCTAAAGTCCTAAGGTTTAAGCAAAAGCTGATAAAATATATTAATATTAATTAAGATAGACAACCTGCACACTCTTTCGTATTAACGTATGCTGCTCTAGTTGGTTACTTTAGTCTTAAGATTTAAGCAAAAGCTTATAAAATACAAGTATATTAATATTAATTATGACAGACAACCTGCACACTCTTTCGCAGCATCGTATGCTGTTCTAGTTGGTGTGCAGGCATCTAAAGACTTCTATTATTATAAGTACTATTAAAAATCTATATTGGAAGATGATGATATTTATAAAAGCAAATCTGTTTTCCATATCAAGCATATCCATTTGTTAACCAACGCTGCAAAGCTTTAGAATAAAATGGTTTCCCCCATACATTTTTATGGCAATCTAGTTTGTTGAGTTTTCCAATTTATTCAAGCTTATCTTATCTACCATCTATGTAGATGGTATATACATAGCTGCTCTGCATTTCTTCAGTTTACAGATCATATATTTTCTCTCTTCGACTTTTATCTTCCTTGATATTAATTTTACCCCCCTTAACTAACATTCTTCATCAAGTTTGTAATTCTGCGCATTAAAAAGCCTGTTTTAGACTAATTCGTATTGATTGCTGTTTAAAGTTAAAAACGTATTTGTCATACTTTTGCCAAAAGGAGCAACTCTAGCACATCCTTTTGAATCATTCAAAAACTTTTCTCATAGTCCATGCTTGGACTCTTTCCAAGTTTTCTGCAATTTTACAGCAATTACCTCAACATTTTGCCCAGACAAACAAATATGCAAACTTTTGTGTTGACAATTGCCAAACTACAAACAGCAATAGCACCAACAACAACAATAATAACAACAATTCCAAGCACTCCAACATGCAAATCGCATACCAGGTCACTAACTGTGCTGTCCAGCTGCTTTGCTGTTGTTGTTATTGTTGTTTTTATTGTTACTCCTGCTGCTGTCTTACGATAAAAACTTTATCTCGAAAGCTTGGCCGACTATTTGAAACCATGAGATATATATAGTATGTACAAGTATTTACGAAAATGCAAGAGCAATCAATATTTCAACTTTAAATTTGGCCAAAAGTTAGAGTGACCAAATGCTGCAATTATTAGAATGTTTAGAAATACATACATGCAGACTATTTACTCATATACATACATATATAGAACATAAATTCGAACTACAATGTTTCTTGTATGGTGGATGGAATGCTAGAGTCAAACGGGGTGAAGTCTTATACACCCTGCACCCACTGCCACAAGACACATAATCACTAGCTGGTTTTAATATTCAAATTTGTATCACAATACAAAAACCGGATCTGCTTAGGACTGCCAAGTTTGGTTATTCTAGCTCTTATACATTCGGAGATATTTGGGTTCATACAGACAGACATACACACAACGCTTCTTGTCCTACTGATCAAGAATATATATATTTTTTCGGTGTGTTACATACATGTGCACTAAGAGAATACAAGTACCCTTTTTCCCTCTGGGTACAAGCTTTAAAAATGCAAGTCGATCGCTTATTGCTTAATGGCTTATGCTGGAAATAAAGTTGTATCTAAAAGCGCATTCGATTTCGATTGCTTTTTCTTCACTGCTTTTAAACAAAAATGTTTGAAATTGGATTGGTCACCCTTTCAACCAACAACATACAATGATTTATGGGTGGTTTGGTTGCTTGTCTTGTGTGGCAGACAATTAAAGCGATTTGCATGTGAAGCTGTCAAATGGGTCTAACAAAAAATATATTTTGAACTTCTTTATTTGCAGCATTACGTTTGCTCGATGTGAGTGCGAATAGTGTGACCGTCGGCGCTCTTTATCCCCCGCTCTTCAATGTGGCAGCACGCGCGTCAATTAGCGTGAATGCTACCTGTGGCCAGAACGGTGCTGAGGAATACTGCAAGTTAGTCGACGCCTATCCGCATCGGAATTCGTCCAAGCAATGCAGCATTTGCAATGCCCATTCGTCAGATCGGGCCAAACAACGACCCATCGAGTCTCTCATCTCGAACTCGAATTTGGAAGGGTGGTGGCAGAGTCCAACTCTTCAGGGTGGCCGACAATTCGAATATGTGACCATCACTTTGGATTTGAAGCAGGTAAGCACTAAGAAGGAAAACTCTAGATTTCATCATATACAGAGTATAGCTTTAAGCTCTTGTGACAACTTAGCTGTGATCCAGTTTGTAATCAAACCACTGGCTTGTCACTCATTTACAAGCGATTTAACGCCATACTCGTGGTCGGGGACATTGCCGTAACTTCCATGATCCATCTTATGGCTTGGCGCTGACACTGTCAGTGATCATTAGAGTTGATCAGCGCTGCCCCGAAGAAATATGATCAGGGGCATTTCCTGAAACCGGTCGTTCGGTATTAAATTCTAGTGCTTAAAACTTGCACATAACTTAGCTGTGATTGCTTTTTGATTAAGTCAGATCAGTTTACAGTGCAAACTTTCACCGGCAAATGAATATTTAAGATCACACGCGTATGTTTGAAAACGTAATAAATGCGGCAAATCATTGTCATTGGTTATAAATTTTTCATCAAACAATTATATTTGTTTCAATCAATTGTTTGACTACTATTTAATACTATACACTATGTTTGAAATACTATTTAATACTATATGAACACTTTAAAAAAGCATATTTATATATTCAATTCTCATAAATGAAATAATTAATCGTCAAGTTTTTTTTAACCAATTGAATGATTGTCCACGATGGACAGTTTTAAATAAAAACACTCTGCTGATACAAAAAAATATTTGAATCAAATATTAATAAAGTAAATTTAATTTATTTTAACTAAAAATAAAGTAAATCTATCTCATTAAAGTATGTCATGCGCAATTTAATGTTGAAACATAAATTACAAATAAAAATAGTTTTCCATAAAAAATTTAAATATTTTTCTCAACTCTAATTGCAGTTTTTTGTTGTTTATTTAAATACACTAGAAATATGTGACTTTTGAATATATCTAATAGTTAACTAAAATATTTTCAAATGTAAAAGAGAGAAAAATATATATGGTCGTCAAATAAGTGTATTCAATCAGCTATTCCCCACTATAAAAATTAATATTGATCCAAGCTCTAAACAGCGGAAAATGTCAATATTTTGCGAGCATAATAACAAAAGAGTTGGGAAAATTATTTTGTATAAAAATGCTCTATTTAAATAATTATAAAAACAATTAATAGTGCGAAAAATATTTCATAATTATAATGAAATGTCATCACTTGTTATTAAATATCGCCGGACTTTCAATTTAATATTGAATTATATAAATCGAAATTGAAGTGGGCATACTTTATAAGTATTTACCAAATTGGTGAAAAATCTATGGCAAAATATGTAAATGTGCATTTTTTTATATGAAACAATTTAAGAATATATAACTCGTAATAACCAAATTAAGCATTTATTACAATAATTACATTGAATTTCTTTTCAAATTAAATCAACATTCATTCACTCTTTGCTTTCAAACATTTCATTCAACTTGGAAAGATTTGATTTCCTTCTGGCACACATCATATGCAACGATTATGCTCGTTGCATCCCACTTATGGCTCTTTAGCTGGCTATTGGCTGCTAATCGTGTAGATAGTGTTAATTGGATTTCCATTATGCCAATCCAAGTTGTTGGTCGGCAACAAAGTTGCACTCTGCTCGCACATGCTTTCATCTTTCAGCAGCCACTCAATGCCCCAATGCTCCTCCTCGACCCCTCCCCGCCTTACGACCGCCATCAGCGTCCACTTTCACAATCTTTATATAGCGATTATGTGCTGAAAACTCATCTGTTCAACATCAGCCGACGCAAAGTTGACATTTCAAGTGCAGTTTTTCACTTGCAACTCGCCTGCTTGGCGGTACGAGTCTCCGCCGCAAAGATAGTTCAACGTTTTGATATAATTCTTTCATTGCCATATGCCTGCAGACAGCTATCGTGCCGTACAGATAGTGCACAGTGCAATCACTTAGGAATTCTCTTGGGTAAAAATAATTGGAGTGGAGTACACTTAGTTCTGTTTTTACACGGTAGATTGGTTCCAGAAACAAACGTGTAAAAAAAGACATTGATCAAATGCAAAAATAGGTGATTGGTTGCCTTTCTCTAATAAAAACATATGTGAAATTTTTAATTTTCAAACCGTGTTATATCAAAATCGTGTAAAAAAGACCGCGTAAAAACAGAATTGGTGTACGTAAATAAATTGAAATAGAATTGTTGAACAAATCATTCAATTTGAACCGTTTTTAAGATCTAAAACTTTCAAAATGTGTTGTTCAAATAGGCTTATTATAATAAATAAATCGTAAAACTAACCATCGTGCTTCGAGAATTGGAAATAGCGTTGGCATATGCGATAGATTTCAATGAATAAATAAAGTTTTTGAATTTGATTTTTGATTTTCATTTTTAAATATTAAATTGTTTACCTTAGAGCTAAAAATTATGATATTAATTTATTTTCCTCTGCCTTTTAGTCCTAATTTAAGCCCTGCCCATTTATTTAATACTCTACACACTCTAAGGGGAGTTTAAAACTGCTCTGGATTTATCCGAACTCTTCTCAATGCCTCAATCCGTATCTTATAGGTAAAAAGTAAAGTCAAAGTTAGTTTTTCGCACAATATTTTCATTTCAATATGACTATTTATGGGAAAACTATCCCACTGTACTTATTAATACTCTATTCAATACTCTACATACTCTAATTTAATACTCCTATTTAATACTCTACATAAGTACTCTAAGGGGCTTATCCGAACACTTCTTAATGCCTCGATTCGTATCTTAAAGGTAAAAAGTAAAGTTAAAGTTAGTCTTTCACCCAATTTCGAGAGACTCTATATTTTTATTTAAATATGACTTTTTATGGGAAGACTATCCCACTGTACCTATTAATACTCTATTTAATACTCTACATATTCCACTTTAGTACTCCTATTTAAAACTCTACATACTCAAAGGGGCTGGCTTTATCCGAGCTCTTGTTAATGTCTCGATTCGTATCTTTTAGATAAAAAGTAAAGTCAAAGTTAGTTTTTCGCACAATTTTGAGAGACTCTATATTTTCATTTAAATACGACTATTTATGGGAGGACTATCCCACTGTAGAGCAACTGGGAAGTGTGCACTTAATTAAATCGTCGAAGCGACGGGAACTCACGAACATACATATAGTATGTGTGTATTTGTGGGGTTGTAACTATGTGTGTGTGTGCCAGCAACATGCACATCGAGCGGCTGGAAGTGATTTAAAATTAAAATGATTGTTTTTGCATATAAAAGAAGCGGCATGCTGGAGAAATATGAAAGATTTATGACAGCCATGCGTTCCAAGTGTTATTAATAGGAGGCAGGGCCTTTGCCTTTGCCTCTGTCTCTGCTCGCAGAAGCAAGAAAATATTTAAATTGGCCAGCATTTCATTAAATTTGACAAGAGGCGCACAGCAAAGTAGAAAACATTACTCTTGAATTATTTACTTATTCATTTTGTAGCTCGCGCAAAAAAAAAAAACAAACAAAAAATTTGACCGACCTTATAAGGCATTTGCTCTACGAGTACGAGTATGTACCACTATGTAGATGTCGATGTCACCTCTGGCGTTGTCAATGCTGACAGTTTTAATGGTTTCGCGATTTTAAGTGCAATTGTCACATGTTGAACTGAATTTGGTCAGACGGGCCTTTAAATAAATAAATACAAATACAAATATAAAGAAAGGAAAAAAACGAATGCTGGACATGGAAAACAAAAAACGGCGGCAAATGCCCATTTTAAATTTCCCATGACTTCTGTTTATGGATGGCGCTGCTCCAGCGCTACAAAAAGCGACCAAAACAAGAGCAACAACAACAATAACAACAACAACTACACATCAACGGCATGTGTCAAAATTTACACGCTCTCTTTGCGCCGATTTGCATGACTTGAAAAATAAAGCAAAATATTCAGAGTTTGTTGCCTGATGTTTTGATTTATTTTGCGGCCTTTTATGGCTGTGAATAAAACGAGATTGGAATGCCAAACAAAGCTTAATAAAAAAACAAACAAAAACTCCGAACTGTTGTATACATATGTGCAACTTATATGTATATGTATGTGTATGATTGAGGGATTTAGATACAACCGTGCACCCAAAGGGTTGGGTATGTCTATCTGTACTCTGTACGTAACCTTCTCATATTGGAGTCGGCGCAATGCCAAAAATAAAATTTTATCTATTCTATAACCTATAAAAAGATATGCATGTACCTCGTATATACCCTTGCACATACCATATATTATCAGCATGACAAAGGAATTGCTATGGACATGTTTTTGCGACTGTTCATCCGCCTGTTTGTCCGTAGGCATATCAATAACTTCTGAATTTTTACCTCAGCAAGTTCTCTGACTGATTACTGATTATAACTATGTAGTAAAAAGTAAAGTTCGTAATCTAATGCTTACCAATTAAGGTCTATTTTATTTATAAAATTCTTATAACATGAATATTGCTGGATATTTAAATGATATCTTATTATAAAGAATTATTATTTTGGTTTAAAAATCATGTGTTCTAAATTAGTAAAATGTATCGATATACCAAGTTTTGAGACTCTAATCCGTTTGATTTTAAGCATATCGACGTTCATACTTACAAACGCACAACAGACTATAAGAAAAGTAAAATCGTGGAATAATTTATCTAAAAGACCTTCAGATTTTTACATAAGACTAAAAGAAAGTTTTGGAGGAAAATGTAAAGTTTCTCTCAATCAAAAATTTAAAATAATGTTTCTACCCTTTCCATTCCCTTTCCATACCTTCCCTTTAGTTCCATTTGTCCAATTTGTGGCAATAGTTGTGTAGACTGAATTATTACCTTTCCAAAGTAGTATTATTTTTTTTGTATTCTCTTTTAGGAAAATCTGATATTGTTAGATCTTCGAACTTTCTCAATATATTTATCTTAAAGTTGGAACAGTTTCTAGTTCAGTTTCTTTTATGTTATTTTAAAACCCTTGGGGGTACTTTTTTTCGGGATTATAAACAAAAGGGGTATGCAGCACCTTAATTGTGATTATTGCT